CGTTGACCTACTGACATTTTCTACTGATTCGTGTTTCAATAAATTACAAACAATATTTTGATTTATTAAATACAGTTGTAATATTTACTTTTTACATGACTCGTTCGGCTTGCTACGACGACTTAATGAAAATCCTTAGATATATATTTGCTTCTTGATTTATTTTAATATTGCGAATGAAGAAATTAAATAAAAGAATAAAAAAAACATACATAATTTACGAGATGAGTTATTATTTATTTCCAAATGAAAGAATGTTCTAAAATAATATTAAGTATTTTCCATCCACGAAAATGAAGATTCTTCACAACTTTGCGTGTTCAAGCAGGTGAAAATAATTTTGGGTCAAGTAGTAACGGACCAGTGGATTTAAATATGCACATAAGGGATGAGGGTTAATTTACGGATGTAGAACAAAATTGCAGGCAACCAAAGAGAAAATCACTTTAAATGATATTCAACGAGTATATAAATGACGATACTCGAATGGGGAGAGGTTGGAATTGGAATGGCTCCGAAGATGGGGTTTGAGAGCCACTGTCTTAAAACAGCACTGCGTGCCAGATCGATACCACGTCGGCTACCCTTAAACTCTGAAATGTGAACCGGAGTAAACGCAAAAGACACGTTTCAGGCTTTGTCAACGTTCGTGAAAAAAAAAGGCGTGACGAAAATTCATCTAAATATTAATCAGTGGCGAGACTAGTCACACCGGAGTATGAGGCTAATTACTTTAGAGACGCGGAAGGTCTTGATGCTAATACGTCGACTATGGGATATTAGTTACCTATTTTTTCGACACGCAATTCCAAGAAGTGTAGACACAAACTTAGAATATAAATTCTTAAATAAAGAAAAGTTGCCTATACACTTAAGGGTTGGAGAAGATTCAGAAGAATGTTTATTTAATTACTGTACTTATGTATACAAATTATTCATTTATTGTAGTTCAAGATAGGGACTAAAAATGTTTTCCAGATTACGTGAAGATTGGAAAAGCGTTTTCTTTAGCTTAATGCATAGGTATCTGAAATCAATGCCATAAGAGTTGTGGGTAAATTAGAGGGTGAATCTTCATGGCATGACTGGTACCGCCCAGTTAAGATTATACACGCTGGAGGATTCAGTATTCCGTTAATTATATACATCGTTATATCTGGTGATTTCTAATCGACGATTCATTGGCTGAACCAGTAACAATTATGTTTTTCAGTCCATGTAAGTGGCCCTTAGCATGCAACAATCAAATGCAAGAAAGTTCTATTTAATTCTATTTTTATCTAAACAATCGCAACCTCAACTAGTAGTAGTATTTTCTAGAAGATAAAAAACTCTTGGATAATTAATCGTAACCTTGGCATCATTTTTCATTTCGAACTATCAAGCAAATCTTTTAATCATTATTTTATGTTTAATTTGTCGTTTAAAATACAACGAGATTCCCACTGGAAGATTACCCCGTGTAAACGTATATTTTATTAATTATTTAATCGTCCCTGCCTATTGCATGGTGTGCTACTTCCTCGACTCTATCAATCTATCAGGTCTCTGAAGATGGTGAGCGATCGAGGGTGCCACGAAGTTAACGATTAAACGCATTACCAGCACGCAACTCGCTAACAAACACGCATCGCAATATCCTACGCTGCTCTCCGAGCCCGATGTCGATTTAATTAACAACGGCGTGAGTTCTAAACTCTAATTCGTAATGGCGTCGAGCAACTTCGAAATAGAAAAATGTTGCTCGAGAGCACGAACTGATATTAAAACAAGTCTAGATATGTCGGTGCTATCAATCAAATTACGAAAGTTATCACTAATCTCTAAACGTAATTTAACTTAGCCCAAAATGTCTGACTATTGAATTACACACAAATACGTTCATTGTAGTAGTCGTAAATATGACGGAGAAAAAGTGTAATGCAATATTCAGAATAGGAAGATCCAAGTAGTAGCATAGAAAACATTCTTAATTTTAAATAGACGTTTATAATTGTATAACCGCAATGAATGCATTTAAAAATGACGAATTATTTCGCTGCGTTAATGGCGTCGCGTTTAGTCGCCGGAAACTCCGTCAGACCAAAGCCCCAATTGTCCACCCCCTCAAAGAGTAAACCTGCGAGACAGTTACGGTTACATTTCTCCAAATCTGTAGAGCGGAGTGTCGAAGTTTTAAACGAGAAAGGCGTGTCCGTATAAAAGACGACGAGCGAAATGAAAGAGAAATGCGTGCGCGCAAGTGTGCGTTAATGCTCGCCTCGTAGACACTGCCCTCTATTTACCATTTTTATAATTTCATTCACTAAAACATTTTTACATTTCATAGAATTTCAATATAATAAATGCATTCTAGAAATTCATTCCTATCCTCCCATTTTAATGAAATAAGACTTTTACATTTTGTGGTTAAAAGACTGTTACACGTATTGTTGATGTTATAATTGTTTTTAATTATAATAAGTCAAGGTATTTAATACATAAGGGTGAATTCACTGTAAAGTATTCATGGACATTCTAAATCTAACGTTCAATTTATTTTATATAATTTAATTCTAACTGCATTTCCTATCATTCCTATACTTTTTCACATGTAGTACAAAAGAATATATTTTACTCTTATCGCACGAAAGAAAATGTCTAATTTTTCTATTCGATTATAATAATTACATCCCCTTTGTTAAGTCAGAGAAATTTGTTCGTTAAATTCGGGAGCACCCTGTAGACAGGGTGAGGATTTTTGCGAGGAAGAAGGTGGACGGTGAGCAGAAGTGAAATATGAAGTAATAATGTGTAAAAGAGGGGTGCGGCGATATGCGTCAAAAGTGGAAACTCCGATTTTAAGCGCGCAATATTAATATTGCGGAAGCGGACGGTAGTAACATTTGCATATTTGTTGAGTTATGGATCTGGCGAAATATTTCGCGAAGTTGCACGGCTCCCGGCTGGAACAGTTCGTTACAACAGCCCACGGCTTAATATCGATTGACACCCTCGACAAAGGATCCGGCGCTGTTTGCACCCAGTTTACCCTCAATGAAAACTTACACGGAAAGTGTGCGAAATAGATCGGGGGTGTACAGACACCTGTCGAATTTTTTTAACGGCTGCGTTATATCGCGACATACGACCCGTCGTGGTTTTCGAGAGGTTTTTATTTAAAAATCTATTGCACAATTCAGTGTAATCGTGGAAGACAGGTCCTTTTATTATTTCTGTGAAATTCTTTTGAACAGAATTAAATTTCAGGGACCAGGTGAAATACATACATTGTTTTAGAAACGTTTCATCAACATTTCTAGTATATGTTGGATATATATTTTCTAATTTTTGTGATTTTTTTTTTTGTATTCTTTGTTCATGAAGTAAAGCATACACTTTCTTTGAAATGGAGAAGAATTAAGAAACCAAAGAATTGATTTGATTTCAACGTTTCGAGTTACGATTGGATCTCTCTTTAAAAAGTGAGTAACTGTGGCACAATGTAAAATGAATAGTACATGAAAAAGTCAGTTATTACGTTAAAAGTGATCCTCTTAATTCCTCTCGTTCAAAATGAAAATCTCGTAAAAATATCCCACACCATTTGTGTTTGATTGAAAACCAAAGATCCAAAGCTCCTCCTGGAAAGCCTTTCAGACGAATTATTGGACAGGCCACTGGCGAACACCTCCAGAGGATGATACAGATTCTACTCGTCGTCGAGGAGATCGAAAAATGGTCCCCCAAAAGGGGCCGAAATATTATCCGTGGAGTTTTATCGGTGACTCGCATCCATTCAATTTCTTTCTCGATTTAACGCGCCCGCGTCATGTAATAGACTGTCATGAGCTGGCTTCGGCCAGATAGGGCGTGTATGCCAGGCACAATGTTCTCTGCACGTATTCGATAACTTCTCGTAGGCTTCGTTTCGCGCTGCCGCAAAATGGGTCACCGATTGAAAATTGCCGGTTAGTCGTATCGCCGCCGCACCTGTCAACACGCTACACCCGTCGACTTGGTATCGAAAGCCATGAGTGAGCCGTAAAATTAGGCCCCTGGTGGCTGGGAGACTGCGATACGATGCGACGACCATGCGTCACTGGCAACGTTCGCAATTTACTATCGCGTTATGACGTACTCGAATGCCTGAAATTGACCAATTTCCAGCGACGGGTATCGGTAACCAATTTGGATTCAATTTTGCCGGCGATTATTCTTTCACGGAGTTTAATAATTACTATTAGTATTCGTTCTACGTTTCGATCTTGTAGGGCACTTCAAGAACAAGTAATTTGTATTTAATTTATGAAAATGTAGGGCATGGTAAAAAATAAGATCACTGATAAATTTAAATGTGGAGGTTAGTCGCATAATTTGTTATAATGTTAAAATTGTTGACGAAGTTTGTTTGGATGAGCGAGTGTTTGTATATGTACAGTTGGTCTCTGTTTTGTTTTACATCTCAGCAGTGGGTTATATGCTATATTAAATTTGCTTGCGACGACTGCCACGCGCCAAGTGTATTTATATTCAGCATGCAGCAATAACTTTTCAATAGGTCGTGATAATATTTATTTTTATAGATTGGAGGGCACTGGGGAGCAGTTAAGAAACCAAGCAGGCTGTACATCTTGTCACTTTGAGAGTCGCTTGAGTTTTAAGAATTCTTCAAAGAATTTCGCACCGAGTTCTCAAATTTTGTTTAAGATCGTCCCTAAATATAAAATTGAACGAAACCAAAGTAATCTGGTTCTTCGAGTGCGTTCTTATAGTAAGAAACATGACTCACGAGCCGAAGAACTCGCACCTTCGACTAAGGAACTTTTCCAGTCAACATTTACGTACTGCCTCTTGAAGAACGCAGGGGTGGCGGGAATTAAAACGATCAACGCTATTAGTCGCTACACTGGTTCGAAAAGGGGGAAAGGAGCAAATTAAATGACACTTCGCCGCGTCTCGTTTACTCCCATCGCATGAAGAAGAAACCCGGAAAAAACGCTAAGAAAAATAGAACTCACCTCGCTGCGATGCCCGCGAAGGTTGTAATTTGCCCTCAGTGGAAGTTCCGTGGCTCTCGTTCGACAGTGGGACGTGGTGAAAGTCACCCCCACGAGGCCACGAGCGTTTCCAGTGGCCAGCCATCCCTCCTGATAATAATTCGTGCGGTCTAGTTTCCATCCTTCGTCCTGTCGAATAACAGAAAAAACAATCGTCAGTTTTCTTAAGAAATCTGCTGGTGATTTACAGAAGTTTTCTGATGATGGTAAAATTATAATGTCATTGGCACGAGTTACTAAATTATTGTAAATTATTTTAATGTAAAATCATTCCATTCTATCACTTCTAACGTGACAAATATTTAATTTATTTAAAGAAAGCAATGATACCCTTCAACAAGTTACGGATCTGACCTTAATTTATTTAAAAATCTACCTTTATAATGATTATTCCGTACTTGAAAGGATATTGAATTACAATTTTAATAACAGAAATATTTATTTATTTATTTAAAACGTGACTCACGATGAACACGATATTTTCGGTTCGAAATAACTCGTCGAATATGCTGGAAAATATTATCATTTATCTCACGAAGCACCCTGTACGTTTTCTAGAACGATAACAGAAGCATTCACAACGCACGGCATGTATTATTTTAACCTTCAGAATTTAGTGAATTTCGTGGCATATATTTACTTCGGGTTTTGAATGCATAAACCGGCCCTTAATAAGCATTTGAAAGTCAAATTACACGCGAGAAATGTACCAACGAATCTTTTCACGCACCAGTAAAATCGAGTTGCGGTTCATTTGATTTAAATTTCGTATCTATTTGCGAATAACTCAGCGGAACAGAAACTCTCGCGGATGGATTATTATTGTGTAACTATAACCATTGTGTATGCATAACGATTCAAAGTTTCATTTACATGGAGAGAGTTTCGCGAAAAGCTCTCATCCCTGTAGTTGCCGCGCTGTTCCACCCCTTTATTCCTCGTTTTTTTTGTAACGTTCCGTTGAACTTACAAACGTGCATCCTTCGTTTTCCTATTTTTCCCAGCAGTGTTGAATTCTTTGTCTTTACGTCGAATGTAACCACGGATAACGATTTCCGTGAATTCAAAAAGTAGGTCTTTCAAAATTCCCACGGGTCGCTATATTTTAAAATTAAATTTCTTCTTATTTAATTATCTATTACTTAATTAGCGAGAAGCGACGAATTCTTATTTGGCTTCGACTCGATGCGCGGATATGCTCACCCTTTACAATCTGCCAGACATACAGCATTCAAACAAAGAAAACACTTGACTGCGCATTAATTTTCACACCCCTCGCCACCAGAGTTAGGGTTGCGAAGTGCTATGAGTGCCGTGCACCTGCGCTTCGTCGTTCTCGAGTACGGCTACCATTTTCTTCCTTGGAGCAATTTGCAGTTTGCATTAATGTTGATGGAGATTTAAATATACGTACATACGTAAATTCTCGTTTTATAATGCACTATGAATATTTTATATATCTCGAATGACTATTGATCATTCTACTTTTATTATCTAATTAATAAATTAATGTATGGTATTAATTGTTCGCTCTTAACCCCTACTACAGGAAAGTACATAGCTTCTTATCTGACTTGTCAACCGAGTTAATGCTTGTTTTACGATAGCAACTTACTGCCATGCATCATGCTGTTATACCGCTACCTGGTAGTCTAGCCTGTAAGATGAAAAGTAATCGTTGAAGTTTCACGCTATCTCGTGCGTTCATTAATGCAGAAAACGATTTCCGTTTCATTCGAGGCACAAAGTTTAATCCGACCTAAAGTCTCTAATTTTTCAATTAATTACTTTTTCTAAAAATACAATTCTATATGGCGTCAGAAACTACTCTCGCAGAACTTTAAATTTTTCAGAGTGTATCAATAGCCAATCACCCCTTGTGGCTTAAAATCTGACCCCATCATTAATTACAATGAGCATTCAACTCCAACAAGAGTTCTTTCTATAATTCCTGAACATTTCAACAAACCCTCTTCAGGCTACGTAAACTCCAATTAAAAAGTACACGCGAATACAATATAGAACACCAGACGAACAAAGAAAGTGCCCTAACAATTCTTATATACCCTCAGGTACTACGATCTCGTGCCTCCCGGACATCTAACTGAAATAATAGCGCATCGGAAACCGATACGAAAATAATTTCGTTTTCTAGTGGCACTGTTGGGGCGCCGCTTCGCGCCCAGACGAACGTACACGTCCCGGCTGTTAAATTGTATGCACAATTTACATTACTTTTCTCATTCAATAACCGATAGTACCGTCCGTCTCCTTCCGCGCCATCCCCGAATAGAAACGAGGGTAATCATTTTCACGATCGATCAGCGACCCGGGAGTCAAGCGATAACGGCTTTCCTGAACCTTATAAACTCGTATTCGACCAGCTCTCGGAGGCGCCTTCCAGAATTAGATGGATTTTCTCGCGTGCAGAAGGCGAAGCACGCCTAAGCAGAACGGTTGGTATTACTATTTACTATTCGTCGGCACGTAACTCTTCCACTTAAGCGCGGCCGCGTCAGGTGGCAGGGGGCTTCAATGCTGGAAGGGTTTCACCCTCAGACCCGCCATACATATGTAGACGTAATTACACGAGCCGATACGCGAACCCTTAGAAAAACAAGCGACAAGGTAGGGGCAGATTTCGACTACTCGCTGACGGCTGTTCGCTCCCCGCGCTTCGCAACCTTCGCCTCCTCTCACAATGAATACAAAAGGTCCAGCATCTTTTCAGCGGCGTTCAGTTGTGAAAAGGGAAACGACAGGGTTTTCGAAGCGACTCGATGCCTCGTTTCCTTTCATTTCAAGGCGGGGGCGCAAATAAGATATTTGTTCGACGCGATGTGCTCTTTATTCGACGAATTTCTCGCGTCGCGTGGGACGTTCAACGAGAAACAATACACTTGTTTCTAATGTGATCGATTCCTTGAATTAGCAATTTCAAGGATCGTCAATTTTACTAGTCTTTAACCTTTTGAGTGCAAAGAGCGATAGCTTGATGGTGTAAGTGTTATAACTCATTAAAAAATCAATTTTGCTTTACGAAAATAACATCAATATCTAACGCACATAAATTTATTTGTGCACTTCAATTTTATTTCAAATACCGTAATGCGAGTAATATATAACGTCTGATAAGCGCATTTTTGCTTAAAATTGTCTGGCACTTCTCGGATATGTATGAAAATTTCTGGCATTCAAAGGGTTAATCTTATCAGGCGTTCATTTCGTCAGTCAGTTGTCAGTTGTTCATCATCAATGTTTGTGCGGGGAAATTGTGTTCTACTGTTATAAAAATGATCGCAAACCGCAAGCACAAACTCAGGAACATTCAGCATAGCTCCTTACAACACCTATGATTCACACTTACGTAATCTCTCCTTGTACATAAAGTGTCAAAACAGGTGGTTAGCTTGTAGATACTAAGCAGTCTCTTTTTCACGGTTCATACGAAAATAGTATCGCTGTTTCAATGACGAAATAAAATGAACACGCCACGAATTGAAGCAGTGCATCGGCGCAGAATGCGAAGGGTTAAACCGCAAAAAAAAAAAAAACAGTTGGAAAAGTGTCGAAAACTTGAAAAAGATCGATCTTGTCAGAAGCTGCTAGTGGGTGACTCAAAATGTCGCTCTAGGGGTGACACAGGGTACGTTTACACTGCAGCGACAAGCAGCGCAACGCACACGGAGGGTTTCAACATTCACTCCGTTTCAACAAGCGGCGTAGAAGACACTTGAAGCACTTGAAATGAAAAGGAACCGCATTTGAGGTTGCGCGCGTGATGTTTTTCTACCAGCCGTGAGAAATACATCGCCTACATCGCGAACGTCGGCCCATGGAGGCGGAGTGTTTCATTATTGGCGTCAATTGCTTTAACAATAGATTCAGGGCTCGGGAAATAACAAACGAGAGTCGTGTAAACATACGACTGATTTGACCTCGTTTCCGAGTTACAGCTACTGGTTTTGTGTTCCAAGAATTACTCAAACTGAGCTTGCGGAACTAATTTCCGGCGGTAATGTTGACAAACAAAGCGTCAAATTGATCTACTACCACTCTGACCCTGAATCCATTAGACTTTCGTTTGTGTGACCACTTAAAACTAATTGCTCAGAACGCGTCGATTCGTGGAATTAGGATAAATTCTATTTAAAAACAGTGGTAGTTAACGTAAGCTTGACTATTTCTGTTTTCCTATTTCGCTTTGTATGTACTATACGTAACTATATTTTATTACACACTTATACACGTAGTATTATTATCCAATGAAATTGTCATGTTACCATTTAATTGAAATTAAACAAGTGATATAGCTGAACGATAAAATCCTCGGAATAGTAACACGAAATGTTCGCTTTATTCCCATAAATATTAAATCCTTTGTCACACGTACGTTCTTTATTTAGAATTTTATAAATAAGTAATTGAGTAATGAAATTTCCATAGCTTCGCTATTTTTCGTTTGTTCCATTGTTTACGAAAATTTCATTACTCCATGCGCGAACGATTCGAAACACAGTTTTGTCGATTGTTCCAACATTTCGGTATATTGTGCTCGTGATAAAATATTTTTGTTTAAATATCCTGCCATACATGTTATAAACGACAAACATTGCTCCTTTCCACGCTTTGAGTCACAAGTTGAGTGATTGGCAACCTTCCCACTGATTGACTGAGCGCTTCAACCTCAATTTATTCTGTCTACCTCACAATATATCTTATTCGAGAGGAATAAGTTGACTCGGCAATTAACTGTGTGCTCTTCAAGGAGAGGATCGCGTGACGTGAACAAAGAATTTTTTTTACCCTCTACACGTCATCGGTTGGTCGAGGCTTGTTCCCAAATACCGAGCTGTAAAATAGCAATAATAATTCAAGTTTTTAGGACAAAATTGAAACAAAGTGTATTTTACATTTACTATTAAAAGAGCCAGAAGAGGTTCGTATTCGGAGTCAAGAAAGCTATTTTATTATAATTTAATAATTAAACCGAAGCTTTAATAAATCATTAAAAAAAAAAAAACTCGAGCACGTAATGTTACAGCACGAGTTTTATATGGATTTTTCATCGTCATATTTCTTTCAAGACTGTGCCACTCTCTTATAATACATTAATGCCGAAAGGGATC